GCCATGTTTGATGGATTAAATATTACATGGAAAAAGTTTTCCCTCCCCCCACCCCACGCTCCCATTTTCCATCATTTTAGGGAATTCATTTTCCCATCATTTTTTGGTGGGAAAATGAATTTCAGGTGTTGGCCAANGAGAGCAGTGCCGACGTGTTGCTCACACAGTTGACAAAATCCAAGATAAGAAGGGGAATGAGTTGCTACTGAGCCATAGTTGCGTTGATTAAATTTGGGTAACGGTAAGGCACTGTTATTCCTTTGAGAAATGAATTTTGAGTGAGAAAATGGAACTTTTTTGTTACGTGTTTGGTGGATTCGGCCATGAATTCCGTGGTGCTCCATAGTGGTGATAGAGATTAATGGATATAGGAATGAAATTGGTGCTTTGGTGGATTAGAAAATTAGTTTGTGTTTAATGGTGGGATAATGGTGATTTTAGGGTTAAATATTTCTGAAAAAAGTTGTGTGTACAATCTTTGTTGGCAATCCATTTGTTATATAGACCTGTGCTGTTGATTTGACAAATAGCTTTTAAAATCAATGATGTAAATTTTGAATTATTTTAGTGGTATATCACTACTTACACACTGGTGTCCATAATGAACACCCGACGCCTCCTCATTGGAGAGAGTGCCGGGTCTGCACTCCCTCCAATGAGTAGGCGCCGTTGTCCATTATGGACACCCCGATGTAAGAGGTGATGTACCTCTAGCATCTCCCTATCATTTTACCCAGATCGTAAAATTGCTGAATTTTCCTCTCTCTTTCGTCTTCTCCAAAGCGTTTTATTAATTTTTTTTATTTTTTTACTTTTTTAAAATTGTTTTATTTGACTTTAGCATATTAATTTTTTTTTATTTTTAAAAAACTTTTCATTTGACTTTAATTTCAAATTTTTAAAAGATTTTATCCGTACAAAAGTTAAAAATGACTTTATCTGAATAGCTAAATAAGATTTAAATTATGATGCTATCTACATTATATAATTATAATCACGAAACTCGTTATTTTGTTGCAAACTCTAAAAAAAATGTATGAAATTCCTATAAATCTATTAAGTAAGACTTTACTTGAAAATTAAAACTATAAAAAATATTCTAATTTTTGCATTTTGAAAACTTGAAATTTGTATAATTGATTAGCGGCGAATTATTAAGTAAATATAGTATTTTATAATTTTGGGTGTTTGATATGTATTATTTTAATTATTAAATGATTTTTAAAATAATGAAAATTTTAAAATAATATTAAAAATAAGAAAACGTTTTTTACGCCTAAACATAGTCTAGGCCCTACATGCCTAGTCACGTTTTATGCTTTTTAGAACACTTTTTATGTCATACGTTCGTTTTGGAAGAACCTGAATCTATCTTACTCCGCACAGAATTTTATTTTAATCCACTTTCATGTAGTTAATAAAATGTTATGATGATGAGAATGCTAGAACGCGCCAACATAGTCGGAACATGTGCACCTTCTGATTATTATCTCCAACAATCTTATTGGAGTAACTGCATTTGCTTACCCTTTGCAAAAGCATCATCAATAAAAGCAATTAATAGAACATAATAAAAGGAGATTGCAACTTCAAAGCAGGAATTTCTATCAAAATAGGCCAAACAACTTGAAAAGGACTACTTTTTCATTCGTTCTATATACTATTCCCATTTACAATCAGTTTGGTCCCATTTTGATGTTTTTTCAATTATTTTGTCCAAAATAATATATGTCAAGGAGTTAAAATTTCCAACGTCTGGAAGAAATTGCCCATGTTATTCCCTTTAGTTGCGGTGATGGACCATCGATTTAGCTCTGATTTGATTCGCATTATTTTCAAAATACGTTTTTCTCTTTCTTCTTTTTAATCGTATATTTTTCAATAAAATAATATTACACGTAAATCCAAAATTTTTCTTTATTTTTTAATCACACAGTCTCCATCAATATACTATTCAAAAATACATTCTTTGCCAAATAATGAGGCTCAAACAAAAGCTTAATCTAGAAGGCACTAAAGATTTTATACTTGGAATTTCACTTAAAGGCCCTGTTTATTTCGGATTAAAATCAGATTTTAATTTTAGTCAAACAATCAATATTAATCACATCTTTCATGGGTCCCACAGTTTCTTAACCACACATTCTAAAAACTTATATTACAATCTGCTAAAAATCTAATTTTAATCCCCATCAAACACTCTGAAATTAACTTTTACATACACCAGGAATTTATATAATCTACAAATGTGAAAAACCATCAACATTTCAATGGAAAATTCCAATAGTCTGAGAAGGAAAAATTGATAAAGAGATCCATTCAAATGCTATGAAAGAAAGAATGCAAATTGAACATTTGAATATGGTGGTTGAGCAGGCTATTTGGCTTGTCTCAATCCACCGAAAGCTTCTGGATAGCCTACAATTGGACTTCATAATTCTATTAGGAGCTTTTTTAAACTTTAATGGTACAATTTATGAACCATTCGTCGAATATAATTTGCTTTGTTAATTCGCTTTCTAACATTGTTATCATCAAGATTCATAGCAAGATTTTGGATGGAAAAATTGATGTGATGCAACTGATAGTGAAAGCAATTGAATTTACAGAAAAAATACAATTTTTTTTTAATAATGGAAACGTTAATTTATTCTATTAATCTCCATGTACAGGGTAGGGGTTCACCCTCTTACATGAGGTGGATCCCACCTCAATAAAAAAGTAAAAAAAAATTACCCACCCCCTACGTGTGAGTTGTCTGTGGGGGTCCCCACCGTACATATAGCTTCTCTCTAAAATCAAAAGTTGTTTTCAAAACTAAAAAGCTAATTTCGAACACGTTAAGATAATTTTTTGAAATTTGTTGGGTTAGAAGAGCTTTAGAGGAAAAATGTCCCATGGTAATTTCCTCATGACTCAAGAAGCTTTTCTACAAGAAGTAGAACAAAAAACAGAGCCCTGACAAATGGACCATTAGATCCTTAAAAATCGCTCCAAGAATCTTTACGTATATTTGCAGAGGTCTAATCTATCTATATTTATTTTAATAAAATGACGAGAGAGAGAGAGAGAGAGAGAGAGAGAGAGCATAATCTATAAATCATATATAGGGTAAAACTTAGGTTATTTAAGTTTAATTTGACCTCATTGGCTATCATCATAATGTCTTGCAATGAAATTATGAAAAATGTTAAAAAGTCCACATGAGGACCTTTAGAACCCTAAAAAGATGAGAAAGCATAACTTATAATGGAGCCCATATATCGAAAATGTTAATTATTATTTCCAAGCTCACGGTTTCTTATTGTAGACATCAATCCCTGCATTCTTTTGTGGGGTTTGTTTGGATTCTTGTTACCATGAATAGATTACAAAACTTCACTTGAGAGCATGACATCTAATGTAGTCCTATCAAAACATGTCTCACGTCCATCTTCGAACCGAAATTTTTGTGGTTCGATCTAATTCTCATGTTAATTGATAACAGCAGGCAACTTGTGATGGGTACGATAATGACTATAATGATTGACACAATCATATCATAATATTACATCAGTCACGTCGATCTCGTAGCTTGATGGATCGATCCAAATAAATACTGCTAATCGAGACTAACTTTTAGTGGAATAAATTGAAAAGAAAGTAAGAGATTTAAACACTAGTCCGATTTCAAGAAAAGAATATAAAATTTTTCCAACGTCATTTTGACAGAAGATTTGTTTGATTCGACAAGTAAAAAGTGAAAACATTGAACCTATCACTACTCGACAGGTAACATCACTAAGACTAAGTGCTTGATAATTATGCTAATTGTTTACACGCCAATGAGCATTAAGAAAAAAGTAAAAACACGATTGCTTGTAATTTTTTTAATGTCTAAATGTAAATGAATATGGCAACAAGAAGATTTTGAGTATATTTGTTGTCTGCTAACCTCAATTATCTAATATAATTGAAGAAAAAGCACATATTAAAGACTAATTAATCACTTAATTTAATCTTATCATTTTCAATTGATAATGAAGTTCTGTCTTCTCGTCTCTTCTTATGTTTTGTGGAATAAAGACAATTGGAAACGTGCAACTGAAAATTGTCTGTAGGATGAGAAACTCAGAAAAGGACAGGAAAGAATGCTGTGTTCTTTATCGGACGTGGACGAATTTATATGCTTGTCTGTCTACTTCAAATAAAATTTCACGCGTGAGATGAGATTTCACAGGTTAAATGTATTTCAAAAGGTTGGTTGTCTCTACCTAAATGGCCATGCCAACAATCAATGGAGGGGGAGAAGGATTGAGAGCGACCTCCCTTCCCATCCCCCTCTTTCAAGATCCGAACAAGACACTCTAATAATTGATTTATCGGTGAGATCACACTGCCACATAGACCGATGACTATTTAGCCTCTAAAAAGAATTCATATTTCAAGACAATTTGAACTTTGAAAAGGGATTATGAATGGGAGAAATCGTATAATTTTTCACTCCAATGAAGAGCTTTGTTGAAAAGTTCGCGATTGAAGCAAATAATGCATGACGTGTTTGATCCCAATGCAGGCAAGGAAAAAATGGAGTAAAGATGAAGAGAACCAAGGGAGTAGTCGAAACTTGAAAGTGCAATTTATACTAGTAAGGTGTCTTACTATATTCGTATACACCCAATTGGACAAGTTAGAAGTCTGTTACTTGACTTTACAAATTACACGAGCTGAAAGCATTAGATACTGTGTTGCTTACTCAAATATCTCTCTCCAAACTATGCGGTGTCCAGGGACGGATCCAAGACCGAATTATAGGTCGGACTAATACGTAAAAAAAAAAAAATTACACATGAATTTTTTTTTTTACATAAATTTTTTTTTTCTAACTAAAAAAAAATAAAATTTGGGGCCTAAATCCGTCCCTGGCGGTGTCCATTATTGTTCTTGAATTTGAGATCTTTAAGTACACACTCGCTTAATGACATCTCCAGGTATGACGTCGTCTCATAATGATCTGCTGTTCAGCATGGCATTGTATTCTGCGAAATCATCAGCAGTGATGATAGCTGAAAGAGTAATGGCTCGTTCAGTAAGGTGTATTGTACATCAATAGACAGTATGAAGAAAGAAAAAATAAACTAAAATCTTATTTATTGTATTGTCGAATCTCATCCAATACACAGAGCAAGCATTCAGCAAATGCATTAGAGGTATCAACAATCTTTAAGATATAGCTAGTACAAATTTGACACAAGGCAATCTTCTTTCAAGTTCAAAATGTCTATAGGAGACCTAATTTGATGAACTCTACCGTTGCCATGAATATTTGAAAAGAGATATCCTTTCATCAGATACGGGCATATTGAATATGTAATCATTGGAAAATGAAAGAACTTCTCCTTGCCACCACTTGGCATGACAAAGTCCGACACGATCGGAATTCTTAAACGTGGTAATCCAGAGTAAATTCATAAGTTGTATATTTGGTTTCAGATTATTATTATGCAAATAAACATGACATAAGCACTGTCGTAGTAATCTTTATTCCTTTCTTTCTTTCATATTTATCCAAAACTAGATGAAGCATATCAAAGTTCTAAATTAGATTCGTCATCCGAAAATCATGAGCATTTGAAGTGCTTGCCATATTCTGAAAGTTAACAGTGCTAATCTACGACATATAAGCCATGGTTGGAACTTGGAAGCAGTGAAATATGATTAGTGACGAGGTATGCTTCTGAAGTAAGGTTTATCACTCGGGTGACGAGCATTTCAAGTCAATGCAGGACATACAGATATCTAATAAGCAAAAGCAGTTATATGGGGACACACACACCTTGGTTCCGGCCACAATAGTACCGTTTAGGGGATGAGCTGCACATGCAGTAACACCTTCAGACAACGACAGAAATCTGTTTTGTTTATGCTGGTATGCTGGTTCTTCAGTGCTCCTTAAATTCTCGCCACTGGCAATTAAACTTGCATTAGCAGCAACCTTAAGTCGACATATAGTCTAATATTTGTCCCTTGCCCTTCCTGCTTGCTAATCAAAATGAAAAGGGCAGGGGAAATTACACCCTTCAGACAACCAAAGGGCAGATAGACCTCGCACTATACACACAGGTGCACCCCCGCCCTCCCCCAACACACAGACACATAAGCCATTTACTCTGCTCGACTAATGAGATATAAAGACATCCCTAAAAAGAGATTTGAATTAAATTTAGTGGTATGTTTGATGCATTGAATTGAACAAGACTGGAAAAGACAATTGACGTTTTTATCCACACGCCCCTTTTTCTTAGTCCTTTTCAATCCGTTCAATCTAATATACAAGACGTGCCTTAGAAGTTTCTTACTTGTAGTCCACATGACAGGGGGAGCTACGGTCAGGATAGAAATCCAAAAGATGAATGCCATTACTAGATGAAGACCCAACGACATAGATCTGCATAAACAATCAAAAGTAAAGGTATGCTGTGAATACATTGACCTAAAATAAGAAATAAATAGATAACGGGTAAAGTGACCTCCTTGAATAGATAAAGAATTTTTAAAGCTAAAAAGGACAAAAAATGCAGGCCCCTTAAAACCCAATTTAGATACTAATTATACGAAAACAAAACATGGTTTGCTTTTCCATGCACTTTATATTGCTCCTGAGCTTAATGTATTAGAGAAGTATTGATAATAGCACATTTGTTACATTTTTCACCCATTAATATTTGCGTTTCTATGATTATTTGACGCCTAAATGCACTAAGTACTTCTATATTTTGGTTTAAATTGCAAATTGGTGAAAACGGTGGAAAACTGAAGAGGAGCGANAGAAACAATTGAAAAATGACCAGAATGGAAGAAAGTGAAAGTTCAGAGACTAAAGTGCAATTACTCAAAAATTATGTCAGGGCTCACAATGAAGGTTCGAGAGTACTAAAGGTCGATTGGAAGCAATTAGAAGTCAAAAAGGAATAGAATATGATCAAAATATTATCAAAATCAATTTTCAATTCGCACAAGATATATTCCAAATTTTTAGTTGAAGATTGAGACCCATTTTTGGCATAGTAAACTTTCGAATTGGAAAAGAGCTATTTCTAACAAAGTTGTAGCTCTTTGAGTTATCTTTCCAACACATTTTGAATCTTCTAAATTGGATATCGGAAGAGAAAGTTATAATTAAATTACTGACTGCTGTGCAGAGACAAAAAATTCGCGCGCGAAGGCAACTTTCCTTATTCGATTAGAACTCTTTTGGAAACCAATTTGGACGTGATTTTCAACCAATTTTCGGCTCCTATAAAGAGAGAACAGCAGAATACATATGGGGAACCTCCCGAGACCTAAAAATCTCTATATTATACATATTTTGGAGGCGAAGAACGTGGCTAACAACGTGGAATCAAGG